TTGTCTGGATAAGCGCATTTTTAAAACATAGTCATTGTCCATGCCGGTTTCAGTTGGATTATTTGTCACAGTTGCTCCGATCAGATCGGTCTCCTCCATTTTGTAGATTATTTACGACTTTTGAATCCACATAAACACATCGGCAAAATCAGGCTTACTTTGAGCATTGTGTTTTAAACAGTTTAATGCCTTTGTGAATTGTTTCCACTTCCACGCCGTCCTTTAATTTCTTCATACAGCGGGAATCCAAATTAATTAATCCTGAGTCCGATAACCATCAAAGTCACTCCAATAGTGCTCCTTAATTATGCTTTCATCCTCCTTTAATAAAATACTTCACATTCATCCAGTTTGTGACAGTTGTAGCATTTTTGAGACTTTGAAACTTTAATTACCGTGTGTGTGTGTGTGTGTGTGTGGAGGGGGGGGGGGAACAACTTCCAACAGGAGTCATTTGGGGGGGATCTTGGGGAAAAAGGTTGGGATAGAGGATTAGCTGTTCAACACAAACAGACCTGATTCAATTAAAACTACAGTATGTCCTAAACATAGAGATTGATATTGATATAGATTGTGAAACGTTTTGGATATATTTCGCAATTATGCTAATGCATACTGATATGTTTTCAAAAATGTACTAAAATACACATGTTTAGATCCGGGAAATCATATAAAATCCAAATACATATCCATTGAACTTTGACCACACTTGTTGCAAGGTTATCTTTTATTAGATGCATTTTTGTAATCCTTATGATTTCAGTCCTCGTTGATTTTCATTTCATTTCAAACCTTTATTTATACAGATGAATCCCATTGAGATCATTGATCTCTTTTTCAAGGGAGACCTGCTCAAGTAGTTCCACATGAAACATAAATAGAACAACAAAAGGACATCATACAGCATCATTTACATAATTATCCACATAAACAGGTACCAATAGCTTCCGATTGAGTAGCATCCAACCGAGCTTTAAAAACATTTAGTGGCACCAGATTGTTCAGTTTCCATTTAATTTGCAGACTATTCCAAGACAGTGGAGCTGCGCATCTAAAAGCTGTCTTCCCTAAGACAGTCCTAGCAGTTGGCACATTTAATAAAACCACAGCATTCGATCTCAGGCAGTAGCCACTTACAATTTTCCGTGAGATCAGGGAGCAGATATAAGATGGAAGTTTCCCGAACATGGCTTTGTATATGAAAATGTACCAGTCATAAGTATGGTTTTATTGTCTCGTGCTTTAACATTCGTTTCTTTTTGTCCTATCGGCTTTGTCTAAATGTATTTATGCTGCTTTTTTATATTTGTATTGATGTACAGCACTTTGTTGTTTTTAAATGTGCTATATAAATAAAGTTGGATTGGTTTAAGTGAGAGGTGGGCAATATGGTTTGTATCAGATATCCCAATATTCTTGAAAAAATAAATATATTCAATCTTTCTTTATTTTCTAGGTGGTGACAGCGGACCACGCCCAGCTCATGGTGCCTCTCATCTTGGAGAAGAACCTGTGGTCGTCCATCCCCGGCGAGGACACCATCATGAACGTCCCGGGTTTCTGGCTCATCCGCAGAGAGAATTTAGAGTATTTCCCTCGGAACAGCAGCTACTGGGACCGCTGCATGGTGGGAGGCTACCTCTCCCCCAAATCAGTCCTGGAGGTCTTCGACAAACTGGTGGCGGGCTCCATCAACTGGCCCGCCATCGGCAGCGTCCTCGACTACATCATTCGCCCCGTGGTTCCCTCAGAGACGCTGACACTGGAGGTGCAGTACGACACGGAGCGCAGGCTGTACGTGGACTTCCTGCCGTTACTCGTGATGGAGGACGGAACCTCGCTGATCGCCAAACCTCATCGTCTCGTCGCCGAGCGTCACGAAAACCTGTGGAGGCAGAGCTTTCGAGTGGCGGAGACGGCGCGACTCAGGGCGCTGGACCAGGAGGACGGAGGGTGTCGGTGCGCCTGCCTGAAGCTGGCGAAGGCAATGTGCAAACTCAACCCCGCTCTGAACCGTCTCAACGCCAGCCAGCTCACCAACTGCATCCTGCTGCTGTGCGAGAAGGAGGGCGACTGGACGCAGGACGCGCTGGCCGACCGCTTCCTCCAGCTGCTGCGAGCGCTGGTGGGACACCTGGAGGCCGGGAGGCTGCCCTGCGCCCTCAGCCCCAAAGTGAACTTATTCTGCGAGCTGACGGAACAGGAAGTGGACGAGCTGGGGTACACGCTCTACTGCGCCCTGTCCGATCCGGCGGGGCTGCTGAGAACAGACATGGAAGAGCCGCCACAACCGTGACAACCTCGTGTAAACAAACATCACTACTAACAGCAACGGGGGATTTCAATCAACACTGATTTGTGGGCGGTGGTGACCTCGACATAACATGGTTCTGGGAGCGGGAAAAACTGCATGGAGTCCAAAACACTCGATCTGGTCAGTCTTAAACGCCATCAGTGAGAAAATGTGATGCACACTGTAGCAGCTACTAAATGTTAAGATACGTCTTGACATGAAAGATGTTTGTCTTGTTCTCATGCAAAACGTATTTTATCTCCGTTAAGGCCCATTGATGGATCTCACCAAAGCCATTGTATTAATGAAGTTGAGAGGAGACACACTGACATACATCTCTGTGGAGGTAGTGCACGCTGCATGGGGTGGTGCAGGAATGAGTCCGAAAACCTGGAAATGACTCAGCATTTTAACACCTGAAGCTTTTCTCGTCTCGACATCATTGGTTTTTGGATGTGTTTTTGTCGATATGCCTGAAATAAGGTCTGTGGTTAACAGAAGCTAAAGAGATATATTCATGTTTTGCTCGAGCTTCTGTCATAAAAACGGCGGTTGCTAACAAGTGGCTAAATTAGACTATTAAACGTCATCACGCCAAACATTAGCCGCCTTTAGCTTAGCGGTTGTAGCTTTACCACAGAGCTTGTTTTATGCATGTTCCAAAATCCAATGCTAACTTCCACATTAGCCTAGAAAAGATCATCATGCCTGCACCACTCTATTGGTGTGTCCATATGAAAATAATAAGGTGAATATAATACATGCGTCTTCCTCTCATCTGTCCTCTTGTGGGAGTCTTCAAGGCGCTCCCATGCAGTTGTTCACCGATGGATTCCAGGATGTTGATTGTATGCCAATCCAAAAGCTAATAAAATATCAATGAGCAAAAGAGACAAGCCTACTCTGTTCATCCACCTTTCGTTCTCTCATTAAATACTGCTCTACTGTGTTCAGTTTGAAATCACGCTGTGTCAGAAGAACTTCATTAAAACAGTGGCTGCGTTGAAGATTTATGAATGGGATCTGTGATGGGACTGTGTGCAGCTTATCTAGAAATCAACCGGGGGAATAATAAAATGTATGTTGATGTCTTTGTATCTCACATTCAATATGAATCAGATGTAAGGCTGAATATACAGCCATAAATAGAAAATGTGAAGCTTCTGAATTGTCCATGAAATTTGGAACAATACAGCTTCACCATTTTCCCTTATCCGCTCTCTGTCATGTCAGGAGGTTTGGTTCTCCAGTCACATTTGTTCATATAACGAATATGCTTTATCTAAGTTAAAACCAAACGTACTTTAATCTCGGGTTATTTTTGCACTTTCCAAATGTTCGTAGGTTTATCCAAAGTGTCTCAACTGGAAGTGTTCTTGTCTTCTAGTTTTTGCTTTAGTTTCAATCCAGGTTTCCTCTTGATCATTATCTTCTACATTTCTTAATAGTCCCCTTTTTGAGAAATCTCTACTCCAGACACACAGCTGTTAAACTGGTACTAACGTTTGTCGATGGTGAATTAGTCTCAGTATTCATTTCCTGTCCCGATAGCATGCAGAACAAAGAGCCCGTTACATCTGTAGAGTTATTTCTCTATCTTTGTGCATACCTGTGCACGCTTTAAGTCCGTATTACCCTCTGAATAACCCACAGGTCCTGGGCCGTTCTGTTTATGAAGTGTTTGACACCATCACATGACCTGTTGTGATTCTCCTGTCAAATCGGTTTATATCTCTAGATTTCAGGTGCTAATCTCTTTTAGATCTTGATCTGAGAGGGATCTACTCAGTTATATAATGCTAGATTAGCCTGCTACACTGCAGGTGGAGTCAATACAACAATGTGTGTCACTGTGAAATGACATGTCCAAAATTCATCACGTTTGCTTTTTGTTCTCACTTTTAGCCTTGGAATGATAAATAAATGCAGTGACAGAGCCCTCAACCCCCAGTGTGCAATATGCAGGGTTATTTATGCATTCAGTTAGTAATCATCCAGAGAACAGGTGAATATTTTTGTATTGTACATTTGTAACCAAAAAGAGCTTGATTTTATTTGCATTTCACTCACCATGTAAAGTACCGCTCATGAAGTGCTTTGTGCTGGATTTAAAATGAACTCACGGTAGACCGGTCTATATGAAGCGACATGCTGTCAGAGTGGAGGGGAGTCACTGCCACATTTCTATTGTTATTGTGAAACAAAAAAACAAAGTAGATCACTACCTCTACCTTGTGGAGTTCATGCTAGCCATACGCTTTGTTGCATGCTGTGTTTCCCCATCCCCCGCCTCGCTTCTTTTTCTCTTAGTTCAGCTCTGGAGTTGAACGCGGCAGCACTTTGTATACTTCCATTAAAATATTACAAATGATATTCTCTTATTTGTTTTTTCTTCTAAGGATGCAGTGTTGAAAGCAAAGATCACAATAAACACTCAGCCGTCCAATATTGTTAAATATTTAATTCAGTGATATTTGGTAATAAAAATTCACATAGCAAGACAAACATCCTGAGATACCTTAAGCGACAACATCATTATTATAATATTCATTATTAGACTTTGGGAGCAGGACATTTTCGAAATGAAAGTAAATTACAATTAAGTTGCATTTGTTCCCCCTTGTGAAAAAAAATATCCTGCTCAAATTGCATAGTTTTGATTGAATCCTGCCATTTCAAAGATGCTCAAACTTGGATTCAAAGACACATTTTGGGAAGCAGTCCTTTGTTCAGCGGCCTAACATCTACAGCCCTTGCTAAATGTTGAAATGTCTAATGTAGCATCTGGCTAATGTAGCATCTGGCTAACGTAGCATCTGGCTAATGTAGCATCTGTATCACTCGTAAGCAGCCAGTTTCTCATGTAAACCTCATTCTAAGCAGATGTGAAATATTAAAAAAAAAGGTGGCAAACCAGGTGTTGCAGCAATATCAAACACTACATTCTTGCCCTTGAAATAAAGCGACATTGATGCTGACCTTTAGCTTGGTTTGTTGCCACCTTGAAAAAGTTAAATAACTGCTAGAAAGGAGAAGAAGTGCAACATATTTCCCCACAGTGGTCAGGGAGCTACTTGGCGGGGGCGAACCCGACTCGATCTGCGTTCCTGTCGAACACGGTGTAGTACTTCCCGATGAAAACATCTCCCAGAATCCACAGCGGCCCTGCAGGGGGCGGGATGTCCATCGCCATGAAGCCTGACAGACAGATGGCCTGACCCATCTGAGACTCCTGCATTTAAAAAAAAGAAGCAAATATTTGTTATCCAAGTTTTTTCAGCAGAAGAAAAGATTTTATTCATCCCGAAGGAAATTGTTGTGCCAGAGTTACAGAAACACAATAAACACAGCAGCACAATAATAAACTGTACACTAACAGTGCAGTAAAAATAGATGGTCACATAATTTAAATGTATATATTAACAGTATTTAATAGTGCAAAAAAAACATAGTTACGTACATACATTTTGCATTAAAAAAACTTTATGAAATATGATGCTTTGTTACAAATAACAGTTTACCCAACAATATATACTAGGAGCACTGAAACAATACCATTAGCCGAAGAGAGACAATTAATTGGCAACTACTATCGACTGTTCAGGTCACACTTTTAATCATTCAAGTACACGTTCCAGATAATAAAAAACACACTTAACGTCTCTTCACTCGTAACAGTATTTTCTCAGTTATGTAATAGTACTTTTACTAGAATAAAGCATCTGAATACTTGTGTCACTGCTAGGGTTAGCATCTGTTTAGTTGACTAGCTAAAGCGCATCATCAATAAAAGGGAAGTGTTTGATAATACAGTAACATGGAGCTCTATGGCACAGAGGAATAAGCCACAGTAGGCTTTTGCTACAGAAACACTTCTTTTAACAATACAATCAAAGTCAAGGCATTACTGGTTGTGATACTTTCATGGGATTTGTTAAATAATAAGTGACCTACCTTCATGACATAATCCTCTCCCGTCAGGTTATACATTTTCCCTCCGATGTTGAAGGAGATCACAGGGAGGGAAGGGATCCGCTTACAGTCGATCCAGTACTAAAGAGGAGAGGAGAATAAGATTATCTCAAGAGACTGTAAAAAAAACAACCACTTTGAAAGATTCATCAGGACTGATTTTAAAAAGCACATCTGGAATACAAGATGGAGACTAAAGCATCAGGTCTTCTGTCTAATATCTTTGTTTCATATCAGCTCCACCTCTCCCATCAGCAGGGGCAGAGCACCGATGGCCTTCTGCAGCGCTCTGACTTCAGCCTTAGGGCCGACGATGAGGGACGTTCCCGTGTCGATAATCGCCTGGCAACCACCTTTGCAGACAGTCAGCTGTTCCCCAATTCCAACTCTACAGGGGGAGGGACAAAAAGTGTATTTACAACATCCGTTTACAAATGTGTTGACATGCTACTGTTGTGCAGACCACACATGTACTATAATTTTTTATTAAAATAGTTCTCCATCTGTGTTTATTTATTTTTGTTTTACTTTTATGTATGCACCATGACATCAAGTCAAATTCCTCGTACGTGTCAACCACCGTGTCAACCACCACTGCTAGTGGATCGCCGGAGCTGTTAGATTAACATTGCTTATTGTAGTTCTGGGTGCACTGCCTTGCGGCCTGCAGCACCATCCTCTTGATGGAGCATATGTGTGGGCTTTTCTGTGACCATCTTGTTGCGCGCTACTAAAGAGACGCGCTACCATGGATACCAAAAAATGGTGTAGCTGTAATAAAGTCAGAGTGGAAACAGTCGTGTATAAATCTGATTTTGTCAGAAATGCGGGAGAAATATGACCCCGGGAGGAAACCGGGAGAGGGTAATGAAAATAATGTATTAGAGATTAAGGAATGGTTGATTTGTGCATTAACATGTTTTTGGTATTTTGAGAGTCCTTCACATTGGGGAAGAAGTAAATGATCAGAAGCTAATGTTTTCCTCATCAGTCAGAATACTATTTTCCACTAGCAGGTAAAGGGCGGGATCACACCAGAAGTGACAACAGGATGTGAGTCAACCTCCTCTACTCGATTTCAGTTACTAGTTAGAAATGAAGCAACAAAAGGTCCCTTCTCACCCGCTCATCTCGATCTGCCAGTAGGCCTTTCGTGTGACATTAACATAGTGCAGGTCTCCGGTGTAGTACTGAGGGTCCGTCCCCCCCAGAATCAGCTCTCCCCCCACTGCTGCTTTAGGGTCTCTGAGAGAAAGGGTGGACAGAAGAACAAATCATTGTTATAAAAATACACACAACATTTGCAAACGTCTTTAAAATTATACACTTCAAGCTAAATTCTGCATTTTTTTTAACCGTTTATTTTAATAAATCAAGACATATCCTGACATAGGACTGTTCCATTCAAAAGACAAATAATAATATGGTAAAACAGAATAGGAAATAAAATAAAGTACAAAATAAAGTAAAACAGTTATAAGTTAAAATAAGGAAATAAATAAGATTATAAAAAATAAATTAATAATAGTAAAGTAAATACAAATTAATAAAAGCATTTTACACAAGGAGTGAAATCTTTATCAGAGTAGGATGGGTTACACGGGGAATTCTGCATGTTTTAGAAGGTTTTCCTGTCAGACACAAACCTGCTAATGTAGAAAGAGAAAATGTTCTCGGGCAGAAGCTTGGCAGCCATGGCCGAGTCGAACACCGGGGTGACGTTAGCGACTGATATGGAGGGGTAGGCCATGCCCAGGACCCCATCGAACCGAGCCACTGCAAACGTGATGCCAGGCTGCTTCACCGCCTCGCCAAACTGCTGGTTCTGGACAGGCAGACCTGCAACCTGCAAACAAGAGGGGCGTCAATACAAATACAAACAAAAACTCACACACAAGATGGAGTTACAATGTGGAGAAAAACCTGTATAACATACTACAGGAAAGGGAAAAGCCCAAAAGCACAATAGGGCCTCTTTAATAAAAAGGGAAACAGATATTTTTGTGCCAGTGACCTTCAGGCTCCCATAGCAATGAGGGAAGCCAAACATATTTTTCATTTGCACAAACTAACGCTGTGTGAGTGAGCGGTGAATGTTTTTATGAACTCACAGAGACCGTGTCCCCGCTGATGAACCCAGACAAGCTGCCTCTGCCGTACCGGATAGAGAACGCTGTGCCATTCTTAGCAAATGTGCTCGACTTCTTCGAGTTGTAGCGATGATGAACCCCTGATGACACGAGACAGTCGTTTAAAAACAGATTTCAATAGATACAGAACACAAAGCAAGCTGAATGAGTCAGTTCCCAATTCTCACAGCAGGCTATGTCGAAGAAGGAGCAGTGGATGGAGGGAACCCAGAGGTTGGACGAGCCGGTGTCAAACAGAACCGTGAAGGCCTGAGGAGGGGTCCCGATGCTGATCAGACCAAAGTACTGCGCCTAAAGAGAGACAGTAGAGAACAATGAGATGAAACCACCCCAGCATCAGAAGGATTCATAATATTGACTGTAAGCATGTTTCAAATAAACCTTTTGACAAAAACGTGCACCTATTGTAACTTTAAATATGATCAAATTGTCCACTCAGCTCCTTAAAACTCAGAACTAAAGCCTATATAGGAATACAACAGTTGTGTCATGAGTTTTTATTTCTACAAGGCCTTAACAGGGCAATGATTAGCAAGTTATTGTCTTAGATCACAAACACTAAATTATTTGCATTGGTTCCTGTCAAATAAATGCATAAAATACATTTAAAAGAAAAGACAGAAACATTTGATGTCAACCCATGGTACCGTGGGACGTGGGTGCCAACAACTAATGTTAACCTCATTTTTCCTCCTCCTTTTTCTCACTGGAGAATGACACTTGTCAAATGTGAACTGTTTTTACCCACAGTGTATACCTATTAACTCTTAAACCTTCCTGAAATACAACTGTACTCACTAACTATAAACCTCTAGCA